GGGGGGGGGGGGTGGAGACACAACAGTACACCATAGGGGTTGAACTACTTCTGATTTTTTGAAGTTGACTTTTATGTGATGAAAGTCGAGTCGAAGCCGACTAGTCGCTGATGACGTAATTAATGAACAAATTAGTCTGGAGCGGCGACAAACATCTTGTGTGAAAAAAATGGCATATCCAACTACAAAACCCCTGCATTGCTAACGAGACTGTCGCTGCAGCTGCTTTAGCATGGAGGAAATGATAAGCAGCGTCCAACTGGCTGAGGGCCAAGATATGTTAATACAATCAGTCAGCAGTCAATGGCAGAGCCTGACCAGTACAATATCATATTGCTCAGAAAATCAAAACGCTTGATAACTGAGACGGCTTAGGTTTTTTGGGGATTAAAAAAAATTTAATGAATGGATTTTTATCGTTGTAGGGTGGTTGTGTACACACTGCTAAGACACATTTACTGTATATTCAAACGCCATGTAAAAAGGGAATATTGCATCTGATGTCCCCTTTAAAAATGTTGACAATGACATTTTAAAAATGATATTTTCAGTACATAATTACTCGGCATAATTTGCATTTAAAAAAACTTTGTTGATCAAATTCAGTTTGCATAAATCAAAACGCTTGATAACTGAGACGGCTTAGGTTTTTTGGGAATTAAAAAATGTAATGAATGGATTTTTATCATTGTTAGGGTGGTTGTGTACACACACTGCTAAGACACATTTACTGTATATTCAAACACCATGTAAAAAGGGAATATTGCATCTGATGTCCCCTTTAAAAATGTTGACAATGACATTTTAAAAATGATATTTTCAGTACATAATTACTCGGCATAATTTGCATTTAAAAAAACTTTGTTGATCAAATTCAGTTTGCATAATTTGGACAACATTTAAGAGAAGGTTGAATATCAAGGGTTTAAACCAGTGGTTCTCAATTCCAGTCCCAGGGACCCCCGCTCTACACATTTTGTATGTCTCTCTTATCTGACACACTTAGTTCAGTTCATGGATCACTCTCCTAACGAGCGAATGATCTGATTCAGGTGTGTTAAATAAGTCCCCAGGACTGGAATTTAGAACCAGTGCTCTGTTGGTTAGATGCTTCAATATCATTGTAACATAAATATACAGGCATGCCAAATTATTTTCAAAAATAAAGTACAATGGAAAGACATTTAAAAAAAACTAATTACTTCCAATCTTCAGAAGATTATTCACTCACCAACTTCCTTCTCAGTCTGACAATCCTGTGCACGCACAGCTGGTGCACATTTATACTCTTGGGCACAACCATTGACAGGGATGCAAGCAACCAGGAATCAAATTCGCCAAACAACCAAATCTCAAGATTATAAACTTTTTGTACATGTTCTAAACCACAAATTATTGTGATTTAACATTCATGTATAGATATTTCACCATTGTACATCCATTCAACTTCAAAGCACAAACATTTCCCTTCATTTGGTTTCTGCCATCTCCCATGATGCACCACAGCACAGATATAAAAGTTGATTACAAGAGTCCCTCTGGTCTCCCTATCTCCATCACATTGCTTGTAATGTTCCTCAGTTGTGAGTCATTTGATATAAAATCATCTGCTCAGTGAATATATGTAATTAGTGCATTTAGTGTAAAATAAATCATTCCCCATGTTGTTCCAAATCTGTACGACTTCCTTTCTTCAATTAAATGGAAGTGATCTTAGGCAGAATGTTTCATTTTATGCAGGAAAGACTAGGAATTTAGACATGTGAAGTGACTGTGGGGAATTGCTTCTGCTTATTAACAAAGGGTCTTGGCCACTTGAGAGCATGTACGCGCGAAAGGAAGTAAGTGTGCAAGACTGTCCCAGGTCTTAAAAACAGCAAAGTGCAATGCCCTTAACGCACACAATGGGTGCTTCTCAATTCTTATTTGTGCATCCTTGTTTCCTTTCCTCACTTCCTTTCCTTGCATCTTAGTTCCACCCCTTCAGGATGCGAGGGAAGGATGCAAAGATGGAGGAGTTGAATCAAGTGAAATTATATATCCTTGCTCCCTTTAGCGTCACTTCAAAGCGTCATCAGCTGCGCTAAAGGGATCTGCCCTTATGTTGTTAAAGTTTGTTATTTAAGACATTCATAATAAATATTAATAAAGCAAGATGCCCTGTTTGAGTTATATGACATGTATGGCTTATTTAAACTGCAAAGGTAAAATATAAATTAATATTATTACAACAGATGTGCAGGGGGAGGAGAATTTATACGTGCGTCAGGTTTTTTGATGAAAATCACTTCCGCAAAGGATACATCTGTGGAGAGGATACTCACTCCTCGATCCTCGCCTCCTCACGGTGCGATTAGAGAATTGAGATGTCCTTCAAGATGGCTGAGCTCGATCAGTTTCCGGGTCATAGGATGAAGGAACAAGGAAACGAGGAGGGATATTGAGAAGCACCCTAGATCTGGAGCGGTATTTGAGGCTTAGTATATCACATCATGCATCCTGTTCTGGAAATAAATCGTGAGACTTTTTGCCGAGATCTTGCAAGAGGTCATGGAAACCTTTCCAATGTATGCTAAATATTAATAATAATTTGATATTACATATAATTTGGTAGTAAAAAAAAGAGTTGCACTTTTTATTGGTGCAAATGAGAAGTGGTTATATTTATTTTGTTTAACATTTGCAACTGCTTTTATCACTTAATTAGAAACACCACAAAATTAAATTGTCATCTGTTATAGGGACTACTGAAAAGACATTTAGAAGCTGATTTTAAAATATTGAAATATTGAGTATTGAAAATAAAAATAAAGCTCTGTAAACACTTGCATTTTTACAACACTATAATTGTGTCCCATCAGGTAATGAAAAGTTTTACACACACTTGTGGTCTTCCTGCTCACTTGAACACTTCGACCAAATACAGGAAATACATCATATAAGTAGTCAAGTGCTCAAGTGCAAAGACCGCAGCTGTGTCCCAATGTGAAGACCAATAATTGAAGCAAGCCAGAGGCGACAGCGGCAAGGAACCAAAACTCCATCGGTGACAGAATGGAGAAAAAACAAGTATAATTAGCTATTTGCCATTAAGGGCTGCTAAAGAATAAGATGCACATGAAATTATCCTGACTCACTGAACCTGGGTCAAATTAGTGAGATTGCGTGAACTTAAATTGTAGTTTATGAAACCGCTTTGTATTTTAACTGATAAGAGGAAAGCACGTTAACTCTATTTAGGGCTGTATTAGCCAGCTTACATTTGATTTACAGTTACTGCTATCATAAAAATACACTCATATATTGGATTAAAGTTCTACATGTCACATTTAATGTCCAACAACAAATATTTTAGCAAAATGTATACTTTTTACTGGACATTTTTTAGTCACTGATATAAGACCATAAAACACATACAGAATGTTTGTTCATGAAACTTTTGAGAACTGGATGTGGTAGACTAGAATTTTTGCTACAAAATGATATGAAAATCATCCTCTCCACTCATTCACATAAAACAATATATTAATTTAACTTTTGTAAGACATGTTTTGTGTTACAAAGGTCGTATGCGTGGGAGTGACAATGGCCATGAATATTTAGGGTTTCACACCTGAGAGACTTTGGGACATCAGTGTGACTGAGTCTGTGAGCCAGGTAAGAAAGAATGTGAGATTAAAATAATGGGGGGTTTGGTTTTTTCTATTTGATTTAGAACACAGTATAATCAAAATATATACAGTGAAGGTCAAAGACACATTATTGAGCACACTGCTCTAAACTCAGAGACGTGAAAAGACTTGTGTCATTCCTGAAAACAAATCCTGTTCAACAAGTGAAAAAAGTAAACCATTGTGAAATTCATTTTACATTTAATCATAATAAATCATAAAATCAGTTGATCACAAAATAATGTCTAACACTTCTTTTCTTGCAGTCCTAACTTTTGAGTACGTGCTAGGGAACAAAGATGTTCTAGCCTTATTTAGTGATGTACTAATAACTAATAACAATACATTATTGAAGGAATAGGCTGAGATAATCAGTAACTAAGGAGAAGGGGTTATTGATTTGCCACATAAGGGAACCAATCATTGTAGAGGAAAATTATGTAATGTGACATGATGTTACCTCTGCTATGTACCTACCTTATATAAACTATCCTTGTAGAGTGAAATAAAAAAATCCACCCTATCTTTGTTTTGTTCCTCTTTTGGAAAGTCATGTAATGAAATAATGGGTTTTTGTTTTGCTGTCGGAGCAAATGGAAACAAACTTATATTTGCCATGGTTTGATATTCGTATTGCACTTTGCAACGTGACCAATAGCGAATTTTATTATTATTTTAATTATAATTTTTATTAAGTACGTTTATAATTGTTGTTTTTTTCTCTTGAAATGCACTGGTGACCACTGCTGAAAAGTGTTGGAAAAGTACTTGCATTTCACTCCTAAAAATCTGTAGTAGGAACTTTGCATATACTACAGAAAACTGTGCAAATAGAGAAAACTGTAACAGGGCCAAATACCTTTATTCAACAGTGTAGTATTACACTGACTGTTGGTAACTCCTGATGCTGATTGGTCTGCCTTGAGGTGGTGTGTTTTTCCATCCCTCTGTTTTATATAAGACAGAAATCTGTCAGACAAGTATCTCTCAGACTTGATCAAGGAGAAGCTGCTCGTCTGTCTCAGTCTACAGTCATCCAAGTAAGTATGTTTCTAATACCGAGCAGTTGTGGGATCATAGTTCATTTAAACACCTGTATTCTGTAGTCAAAATTATTTTGTATTGCATACTTATTGGTCCCACTTTATATTAGGTGGCTTTAACTTCTATGTACTTACATTTAAATTAATAATTTGATAAAATGGACAAAAAATACAGTGATGTAATTTCATCTGTAATTAAATTCTGTAATTACATATATAATTTACACTGTTGACCCATCCCTTACACCTTAACCCACCCTTAAACCTACTCATACCACCAAACCTATCGCTAACCTTACCTGCATCCACCTCAATAATAGCAAAAGTGTTTTTTCAATACAATATGAACACAATAAGTACATTGTACTTATTTTTTGATGTAAGTACAAGGCCACCTAATATAAAGTGGGACTGACTTATTAAATATGCTAACTAGTAATTAATCAAATAGATTAAAAATTGAAGACTGTAAATTAAATATTTGGGTCACAAGAAGAATATAAAAGACAGAGCTAAGGAGATAGTAACTTTGACTAATTGCCTTGTTAATAGAATACTGGCCAAAAAACCTTGCTCATATGTTTGTGAAACATGTCCGAACGTTTCTATAAAGTTCCTTAGAAGGGTTTGTTTTACAATCAGTCATTAAGCTTCATTTTACCATTTAGCAGACTCCAATCAGACTGATTATATTGCTCATATTGCTCATTGACATCACGTTAGAAAGTTCCTTATAAAGCTATTTAAGATATGATTGCCTTTATTTGTAATCAGAATATAAAAAGCTATCTGTTATTTGTGCTGTATGACACATCTATGTGGTGACAGTGCTGAAGTGGTGAGTCATTCTCAAAAGGTTGTTCTGTAGTGCTATAGGCTTTTTGTCTGCTAATTACAAAGGCATGTACAGTGACCGTAAGGACATTTAACCTGCCTGACCGCTCTCCAAATTCAGGAGAAGCAATTAGTCAGTGGCAGGGTCCCAGTACAATTTTCCTGATAAACCATTGTCTCATGAGGTAGGTTACAGTACGTCTGAAAATAGGTTTTCCTATTCATTGAACATTTTAATTTACATAATATGAATTATTTAAAACGTGAAGGCTGATTGTAAAGCCAGCTGAAGTAAAAAATATCTTGTGCATCCTCTTCAATCACATGATCACACACATATCACCTTGCCCACTCGTTTTGTTTGTTTGTTTGTTTTTTTGCCTTGTGTGTTTCTAGATGATATATGCAAAATTGAATGTGAATCTGACAAGAGAATCTATCAACTCAAAATGGCTGACAGACTCGGCAAACACAGGAATAACTAAACGACAACCATAAACTAATATTAGGTGAACATTCTATCTTATCTGCTTTAAATTAAAAAGTGGTAAGTCCTAGAAACACCAAATTTGGCAGGGTTGTCCTAAATTCCTCCCACTACTCAGGTGTACTCAAACACACTCCCATTTAAACCTTGGTGGCGGTAAAATAAACACATAAGTATTTTCCTCATATCTCCACAACTGGCTACAGGATGGAATCAAATTCATAACAAAACATATACCTTATCATATATATTTTATTGACCTCTATAAAATTAATTGGTTATCATTAGTGTATTGGCTGGCTGATGCAGAGAATGAAAATGAAGGCTGGACCTATACACAAGAAGTATACTTTAATGAAAGCAAATTCAAAATAACGTACTATATACAAAGGCAGACTAATGAATGGAAAAGAAAAACAGGTGCATGTCGTCATCAAACAATGGGTAACCGAGGAAACAAATGCAAACTCAGGAAACAGATGTGGATACATTGAAAAACCAACTCAAAGACTAAATCAAACAAATACCAAACATCACAGTTAGTTTTCTGAAAAATGTACTCAAGTCCAAGAAGTGCATTTTGACATTAAAAAAAGTGTATTTTCCGCTAGATGATTAAATGCATTGAAATAAATCTCAGGTTTATATAATCAGTTAGCTTTTATTTTTCCTCCCTCATATAAAGCTGTTTTGGCTTGATCTATTGAAGGACTAAAATAACAGCATTCCTTTTTGTGTGGAGACTGAATGCTTGTCTTATTCTGTGTTGCAGGTTCAGACATGATGAAAGGCATTATTCCCAAGAGCAAAGCAAAAGGCACTGACTTCTGTGCAGAGGGCAAATACCATTATATAATTCGTTCTGATCTCGGCTGCTATATGCAGACAATTGATGTAAAAGAAGGTTTAGACATCTCTATTTTCAGTCTGCATCCTGCCTGCCAAAATGGAGACCATTACCTTGGTAGTGGAGACGGCTCCTTTTTCATCATCAAGGGCAAATCATTCCGCAGAGTCAACAACCTGACGAGAGACAGCGATGCTAAAGTTTACAGCCTTCATCCCAACTGCCAGGGTGGAGACCACTATTTTTCAACCTTTGGCTCTTGTTATTTCATCATCTTCCAAGAAAAGGGCACTTATCGAATAACAACAGACTTGCATCAAGACACAAAAGGGGAAGAACACAAGCTGCATCCCAGCTGCATAAATGGTCTCTATTATTGGGGCATGCCAAACCGATGCTTCTTCCTCAAGCCAGTCTCAGATTGGGGAGTTGAGTTCTGCGGCAGTAATGACATCAGCAAAGAGCAGTGCTTTGGTGTCTATTCTGTTCATCCCAATGTTCTTAACTTCCTTCCTGGTGGGCTGTCAGTAACTAAAGGCCCAGCATTTGGCATTTGGGAGAACATCAAAACTATAACTAATGACAGCACGACACCAGTGACATGGCAAAAGAGAATCAATAAAAAGGTTGGATATAATAAGGAGAAGATGTCCCAAATCACACACAACTGGAAGGTAGCCATGTCATCCTCGATTGAATCTGGAGACCTTTCAAAGTTAATTGTGAAGTGTCAGTTCTCCTTTTCTGCAGAATATGGAGGTTCACACGTCAGCACTGAAACTGAAAGCTGGAACGAAGCAACTGAAGTGGAAGAACAACTCACAATTGAGCTGAAGCCAAACGAGTCTTTATATCTGTGGCAGTACAGACTGAGTCTCGGTCAAGAACCAGTGTTGTTCTGCCGTGATTTGAAGATTTCTAATAAACCAAACCCTCCAACTGAAGTCCCGCTGCCACCCGCACAATCATGAAAACATAACAGGATGGTTTAATTACAAGTATCACCAAGTGCTTCAGTTAAATATCTTAATTATAACTTCTCAAGTGATTATTTAGATATCTGCATGCATTGCTTAAAATTAGACTAAAACTGTTTAAAATAGATAGGAAAATTTTCAGTTCTAGTCAATGTAACCACAAATTACAACACTATTCATTATGATATTATTGAAACTTGGTTTTTATTATTAAAAGAAACTGACGGAATCCTATTTTTAATCATGAAATTTCTTCTTAAAATCTCAACCCAATTGCAAATCTTTCAATATGGTTTTGAGAGATTTTTACTCTGGAAAAAAATGGGTGCTTGGCATTTATTACTGTACATGTACTTATAGATGTTGTCATAGGGTATCCAAAGTCTACTAAAGTGTTTGATTCACAAGTCATAAAAAGCTCTGCATTCTGTACTCATGCATCTGGGATGTAAATGTAAGATTTTTATTTTTATTTTTTTTACATATTTTCCACATATTTTACTTTATAGCATATATCATTTGGATTTTGCTTTTAATAAAGCTGCATACTGCTTTTTAAGTCTTGCTGTTTTCATTGCCATTCTTTTTCTTTATCAAAAAGCATTGTTGTGGTGTATGTTTGACAAATCTCCACTCCCAGATAGCACATTGTAATGGCAAATTTTAAGCAGCTCCCAACATACTTCGCCGACACTCTTTAAACGACTATCTAAATAAACTTAAGTTGTACCTTTCAAGAGATGAGCAGGATGGAAAGACGTGAGCAAGGGCAGGATGGATGGATCAAACAAACAATATTCCTAAATGGATTCCAGTAGTCCATACAAAGGTTAGAGCAGGGTTGAAAGGATACAAACTCAAGATCAAACTAATCAAATAAAATAGCAAAGCAAATAGCCTTAAAGAACTTATATGCCTAGTAGGTTGGTAGGGTGCTTCTTTGTTCTTTATTCTCTGACAAAAAGGTGAGAGGCGGCCATCTTTAACTTCACTGCCTTCTCACTGTCTATCAAAATAAAACCTTACATACCAAAATATATTTTAGTATTTTTATAACCTAAATAACAAATAAATAAGGGCTCCAACACACATACATGTCTATTTGATGTGTGATGGTTTTTAAGAAATATGCAGAGGATGCCGTAAAACCAGAGATGCACGATCTGCAGGATTTTTCTGAAGAATAAGGAGCAGTTTTACTGCTCAGGACAAACTAGGGACATTTTTTTAAATTCAGTGATTTTGTCTTGTGGACTACATGAAAACATCTGTTAACTCTTTCCCCACGAGCATTTTTGAAAAAAGTTGCCAGCCACCGCCAGCGAATTTGATGATTTTCACTCAAATTTGATGGCCTCCAGTATATTTTTCTTTATGAATATTTGAATATGCAATACACCAAATAAATATCAGAGACTCTACTTTTAAACAAAAAAAAAATCGTTTTATTCTAGTTTAAAGCATTCTTTTTTTTATCAACACTTGAATATAGTTAGGTTTCATTAAAATGCATAATTTTGAGCAAAAAGGTGAGAAAATCACATTTTTGTAACAAAAACTACATCTGGATAATATTCAGTGCGATTATCAAAGCATAAATCCAGTAAATCGCTTCCATCAACACCTCCAAAGCTTGCACAGACATATACCACTTCCTGGATCAACATTTTACTCTGTAACATTATGCAGTTTTCATTTACTGTATATGCTGTCTATTGCTGATGATGGCATTATTTTTCATATGCATCTGTTTACATAAGAGTTCGCTCATTTCTCCGTCCTGTTCATATGTGTTTTTTTAAGGAGGTTTTGTACTTGTTCAGAAGATGTGTAATAGCGCCCCGAGTGTATAACAGTGAAAACACGAAAAGCCATAAAAACTTGTCTTTGGCGGGGAAGCGTTTTATTCTAAAAGATGAGATAACTCGTCAATGGTGGGGAAAGAGTTAAGTGAAGTAGCTTAGTTGAGGCATGAAAAAAACATGCAGTTTTCATGATCCCTCTTATATAGTTTAAAATATGTACATTTTCAGATTCTGCAAGGTGTATGTAATCTTATGTTTAAACACAACTCTATGTCTGTTTTTCTGTAGTACTGTGTGTGCACAGGGCTGGAAATGGGGGGAGGGGGCCATATTTGTGTCTAGTTAGCTGCAAAATGTTGCCTTTTGTGACTGGCCATAATACCTGCAGACTGCAGTCAATGGAAATACTTCTCGATTGGTTAAGGTTAGAGTGCTGGAGAGAATATGTAGAAATGAACTATTATAAATGATTATAAACTATTATAAATAGTTTTCAGTGCACTACTGTAGGAAGTTTGGATTAAAAATATTTATATGACAAAATTTTATATGATACTGCATGTTAAGGCCATATATGTCAAAAATATAATTTATATATGTAAGTTTCTTTAAACAACATATTAACATTCTGTATGCTTATAGGATTTTCTTATTAATTTGAACAGCTTGAATTTTGAACAAGTCTACACAGTCTACATTTCATTTTAACGCATATCCCATTTCTAAACACTTCAGTCAGGTTTTATTCTTGGCTTGGTGACAGAGTTCTGACATTCCTATTGTCTTGTCTTTGTGTGATTGTGCGGTTTTGTTCACTCGGGTTGTGCGCTCCTCCATGTACGTGAGTTGCTCTTTGTGCGGAGCACTTCAATCTAGTTTGGTTTTGGTTTAGTGTCGAGCTTCAGACATTCATGCTCCATGTGTTTTTCTTCCATTGTGCGTGAATGGGATGAGCATTAGCTGGTAACACTTTAGAATACTGTTGCATCATTAATGAATAACTACAGAAGAACACATGAGTAAGGCAATATAAGCACTCTAGTGCTTACATTGTGCTTTGGGGTTTTTGTAAAGTATTGGTTGGTAATTATTCAGGTGGTACTACATCCTTCTAAAGGATGGATCAGTATTCTAAAGTGAAGATCATGATAACTACCTATTAATTACCGAAATCACTGTAAACTTTTGAGGTTCTTGTAAGATTCTGGTTAGTAATTAATTTTTCTAGATTTGGTAACACTTAAATCATTACTAGTGGGTTACTGTGATCTTCACTTTAGAATACTGATCCAAATAATTAGTAATTTCTTCAGAAGAATGTAGTAACACTTAAGTCATTACTATCCAAAACCTTACATATCTCAAAACCTTAGAATGACTAGTGTCTGTTTTGAGTTTCGCTTTATGAATGAATGATGCATTTGTATTGCGCTTTATTGTGTATTGCTGTACACCCAAAGCGCTTTACAATCATATGGGGGGTCTCTCCTCAACCACCACCAGTGTGCAGCATCCACCTGGATGAAAGGAGATGTATGGTGGAAAGGAGAGTATGTTTTGAGTCATGGAAGTAATTTAAGTGCCGGGGTAGCAGTTCTTTTCTCCCCTAATATCAAAGTTAAAAATTTAATTAATAAATGAAGTTAGCCAGGAAGGCTTTTAATAGTTAATGCTGAAATCAGTTATTTTTAATTTTTGTTTGTGAATGTTTATACTCCTAATGTTGGGGCAGAAAGATTAAAAATAATTAACCATAAATCCCAATCAACTTCATTACTATAAGTACTGTGGGCCTCTTGTAAGAATGTAACGCTCAAATCCTTCAAACTTATAATTTCTGAAAGTACCCCACTTTTCCTCCCATCTCTCATCCCTCATCCCATTAATATTAAGTGATCCCACCCGCAAGATCTCCAATGCAAGAAGAGAGAGAAAAAAAGAGCAGAAAAGAAAAGAAGGGAAAAAGAAAGCCATCATGAAAGTTTAGATCCCCTTCAGGAACTCGAGCTGCATCAAACCGCTATGGGAATGCTTTCAGCGTGACCACGCTCTGAATCACATGTATAATCAGTCCAATGGATGGGCGAGACATCACAGCTTAAAAGCACGTGTGGTGGATACAGCAGCAGCTTTCTGTCATTCAGCAAGCGCTCTGTGTGTGTGTGTCAGTCTCTATCCATTTGTGAGTCTTATTTAATGTTGTCTGTCCCTCACTATAAACCATGCCAAAGTCGAGTGATAAGATAAAACACTTGGGTGAGAGCAGACAGCTTTTCAGGCTGTGTGTTCCTCCCTGCCCGCGCTACATTATGGGTGGGGATACACACAGTCTGTGCATTGTCTGCTTGGGAGCGAAGCACGCAGAGTCAGCTTTCGAGAGAGCGTCTGCCGCTGTGTACGCTTCTCTCCCGGAAGGCTCTCTTTGAGGACGGAGCTTTCACCAGCATTCCTCACGGTGCCGGCCCTGCTTCCGCTGAGGCAGAGTGGCAGCTGCACTCATGGGGATCGCAGATGGATCTGGTGGAGGGAATGGAGATGGGCGAGTCCCTTTCATCTTCCTCACCCACCAGATCCAGCACCCACTCTCTGGGATCGGAATCCCGCTCTGCGGTTTCTTCCCCCAGGGGAGAGTGCTCGACGCTCTGTCTGTCTTCCTCGGAGGAGGTTGATGTGGAGGGCGTCAATGAGGACTCACCCCTTCAATCACCCCAGTATGAGGAGCTATTGGAGGTGGTTACTCGCACTGTGGCCAAGCTAAACATCGAATGGCCCACCGAGAAACAGGCTGAACCGCAGAAAAGCAAGCTCGATGAACGCTTTACCTGTGGTAAATGTACGTCCCTCAGGTAAATATACGTCCCTCAGACAGAACAGGCAGGTTGTCTATGAGTGACAGAGCAGAATAAGGATGGAGCAAAGTGTGGATGCGCTGTTCTTGTAGGACGTTCAACTAGGTTTTGTTTATATTTTGCTTAGCCTATAATTTTAAATGACAGATGTCGTATTTATTCATTTTTCTCTGCGACTCTTTTCCTACTATGTTAACAGAAAAATGTCAAATGAATTTAGTATTTTGACAAGACGAATAAAATTGGCTAATAGGCTATTTTTGTTCAACCTATATTTGTATTATTTTTTTTTCTCTGTGACACTTTTTCCTATTGTAAATGTTAAACGGATTGTATCCTGACAAGATGAATAAAAATAAGAAACACAATTTTTGTACAACATTTTTATTTCCTCTGACACTTTTTTCCTATACTGCATTGCATAAAATATTAAACAAATTTTGTGTTTTAAGATAATTCATATAAATTCAAGTCAAAGTCAATAAATCCAAGACTCTTGACAAGACAAATAAAATAACATACAATTTTGTGAAGACTACACTTTTATTTGTTAGCCCATCTCTCTTTCTTTCAGTAGCGGAAATTTAAATGTGAGATTCTGGAAACGAGATCTAAATTTAGCGGGAATGATCGGGTCGGGAAGAAAATTATTCTAAGCGGACAGCGAGTGAACAAAGAGTGATTATATATAGCGGGAGCGGGTGGGTGCAGAATAAAACCTTGCGGGATCGGGACTAAAAAAATAGTCCTGCGCAGACCTCTAGTGTGGCAGCCTCCAAGGCCTTTTTGGTAGGTGTTTCTATGCAGGACATCTGCAACGCTGCGGGGTTGGTCAACGCCCC